CGTGAATTAGCCATTGGCAGAGGTGGACGAGAGGGGGTGTCCTCCCCTCTCACAGAGCTGGGCCCCGTAGGGAGGTGCCTCTTTCTGCTTGTAGCTCACAACTGGGGACCTTCTCCGGCAGTCGGCCGGTTTAGACACCCAACATGTTTCTTACAGCAATCAGGTGCCTGCCTCAAACCTACCAACCTGCCGGAGGAGGAGGAAATAGCAGCACTTGTCTTACGCCAGTCAGCTCAGTGGTTAGCACACTGGTCTAGGATATGGGAGACTCGGGTTTAATTCCTCTGGCAGAGGGGGAAGCCCGATTTTAACAGGAGCCTCTCTCCAGCTCCCTTAGTCTCTTCTGCTGCAGCTGTTCCATGGTGGATACTTAGCCATCGGGCCAGGCCAAAGCAAGAGAGGACAGCTCTGCAGTCCGGTGCTTAGGGGGACACACATAGGATGTGGGAGACCACAGTTCAAGCAATTCTTGGATTATTTATCCACACAGGAGCAGCTTCAATAGGAGATCTCGAGGGAGCCCCAGCTAAGAATATCCCATAGCTTAGTAGCTAGAGCCTTACCTGAGAGGTGGGAAACTCCTACTCAAATCCTTTTCACCCCTCGGGCAGGGAGGAAGAATTGAACTTGCGTCTCCCACGTCCCAGGGGGGAGTTCTAATCGCTGTCTAACGCTTATAAGGCAGATCCTGGCACCACCAGCTCCTCTAGCAGCCAGAGGCTGACTGCGATCCATGGGTGTTTCTGAGCACCCAACAGACTTGGGCCCCACCCACAAGTTTGGCAGACAAATGCCGATGTTCCCATGTGAATCACCCTGGGGCTTAGGCTGAGACAGACACCTAGAGGAACACGTGCATGCCTCAAAGAGGAAACAAAGGCATGGAGGGAGCGGCTCCCCTGAAAACCCAGGTACTGAGTGAGGTCAGGTGTCTATAGAGTCCCACAGAATCCTATGGATCACAGTGGCACCAAAACTAGCTCTTAGGAGCCTATCCTAGCATAATGACTAGAGCTCTCCACTGCTCTGGCTTCTGAGAGTTAACTCTCCTAGTGCGTGTTCCCATGCCCCTTCCAGTCGAATTCAAAAAGTCCCAAACAATGGAGCTGCTACCACGGCCTTAGAAATACGATTCCATGCTCTAATTCAGCTTAGGAGCAACACATTGTTCCAGATATTGAGCCTACATTTTATTGTTTCTGCTTTACCTCCCTTGTCTCAAATTATGGCCTCGTACCAACCTCAGTAGTCGTTCTCCACCCTCACTGTTTACACCTGTCCAATACAAATGGATGATTACGTCCATCCTTAGGGCTTGTCTCCACTTACAACATGGCAGGAAAGACATTCCCTATGGCCCAGCAGAGTATGTACGTCATCTCGCCTTCCCACACCCTTGAGCGACGTACTTATAAAACACTGTGTTTCAATAGAACCCAGTCCCCTTAGCCCTGTTTGTTGCTTTTCTCTGAACTCTTTCCAAATTGTCAATATCTTTCTGGTACTAACGTGTCTGGGCATCAACACAGTCCAGACAGAGACTCATCAGAGCTGACAGAGGAGGGTTATTACCTCTTGCTTCCATGATAGGGCGCCTCTGCTCAGAAGCCCAAAAGCACGTGGATTCCTTTGCCGCCATATCAAAGAATTCCTCACATCCTTTTAATTGTACTAACATGCTGCACCTTGCCAGTTACTAATTCTTACTGCATCTGAAAATGTGCTCGACTAAGAACTGTCAGGTAAAGAAGTACTTGGGACTTGCCACCAAAGAAAGAAAAAAAAAACTTTTA